ACATGTTTGCCTGGGAATTTTAGTTCCCTGACACATGTTTGCAGCCTTAGTGCCACATGTGGTTTCTACAGATTCTCTATAGTTCTTTGACCCCCTGCTCCCCAATAAAGGATTGCATATTACTGGGGTCCACAGGATGCCAGGCATCTCCATTCCTCTTTGGTTTATGATGACTATGAATTTGGCTCCTTAGCTAGGTAATGAGAACATAACACCTTGCTTGTCAGGTAGATATTTCAAAAGCAGCTGAAAAGAATATTTTGTTATCTGTCAACCCAACAGGTTTTTGTTAATATTTTAGAGACCCAGCAAAATGAATGGCCACATGCATGTTTGGAACATGGGGACAGCTGGCCCCGCCTGGATGCCAGGGCTCTGCTGGCCTGGCTGTGGAGGGCGATGTACCTGCAGCTGCCCCTGAACCAGAATCCCCCATATTAAGGTGCAGCTATTATTTATTGACTGCTTCTCAAATGCCAGGGAAAAGCGCCAAGTAGTTTGTACAATACAATAAAGCGACGAAGTTGTTATCCCCAAGGAACTAACGCAGGGAGGTTAAATATGTTGCCCAAGGTACGAAGCTACAAGTGGTAGAGTGAGGATTCCCATCCACATGTGCATCTTAGACGCGATGCTCCATGCCTCTGACTACCTGGACCACAGTGTCTTGGAGGATCACTTCTCTCCCTGAGGGCAGTTAAATGTTGCTGAGAGGGGAGAAGACTTCCGGATGCCAGTACTCCCCTCCATTTCCTCATCAGCTGTCCAGGCTGTCTGAGGCACAGTCAGACAGCCCAACTCCATTCTGTCCAGTTCAATCAACTTTTTCAAGCACCTACTGGACTAGGTCCAGTTGATTTGGTATTAAGTTCGACTCTGAGTCTTACTTTTCTCAAACTCCAACAGAATAGCAAGCTCCTTTTAGGAACTTTATTTATGATGGACTTTTGGCCTTACAACAAAGAATATATGTATCAATCCTTTATAACTTTATAAAAATTGTATAATTTAATCCCTATACCCAGTTTCTCCTAGACTGTGAGGCATTCTTGTCTATCACAAAGTTTAACAAATAAATCTTCATCAATATTGCAGTAAAGCTTGGTTTAAGCCAGTGGTTCATAACCGAGAGCCCCTTTTATGACTTTCCTTTCATTAACCTCAAGAATTGCTATAAACAAACAAGGGTGAATGCACTTTTTCTGTTACTGAAGAAGTGGAGGTTATTAACCCCTGGGTTTTGGGGTCCCCAGGTTGGATAATGTAGCACTGTGACCCTGTAGTTTTGATAATGATTTGTAATTCACTGCATAAACCAAAGCAGTCTTGGAGTCAAACATTCTATTTACAGAATTTCACGCAATAGAAAGCCTTCACATTGCTTTCCAAAATGGCACTTTCCAAAATGGCACCTTCCAAAAAGGAAAAAAAAAAGCTCTTGAAGACTCACCTGTAGAGTGCATATAGATAAATATTTTAGCGGTATTAGACAACACCCAGAAAATTAAGATTATGGATAGAGGCCCACAATGTAGTAAATAGAGGATGTATTTAGAATAAAAGTAGGAACCAATAGGGATAATCTGCGCAGGAGGGGCTGTCAGATCATTCCCATTCGAGGGCTCTGTGCGATTTTACGCAGTAGAGATGTCCGCCCGCCGCGGGCCCGCGCGCCCCCTCAGCCTACGCTCATCTGCAGCGGTTCTCAGGAATACAGCGGCTGCATCCCTTCCGTGCCCGGAGCCGGGAACTGCGCTTCTCCTTGGGACAGTCTCTTTAGGAAGGGAACAGCCTCTGATAGTCCAGAGAGCTAAGTGGCATAATTGTGTTTAAAAAAAACAACAACTGTATTAAACAATCTTAAAAAAGACCCATGAAGACTAGAACATCATTTTAAATAGCCACAGCAAGTGCAGGCATGTTGAGGGGGCAGAAGCGATGACTCCTGCTCTGGACTTTCTGGTTTTCTGCTCTAGGACACGGGCAGGAAGTGCTGGCCGCTGCCCCGAGGTGCCCGCGCTGCACCACGTGGGAGACACAGAAGGCCTCTGCGCTGCCGGAGGAAGGGCTCTTCTCACTTCTACAGAAACAAACACCGTCAAAACTTGCTGGAAGGAAAGCAAAATATGTATTGGAACTTAAGATGTGGAGGCAGCAAGTGGAGATTAGAAGAACTGAAAGAAAATGAACAGGCTGCCATACTCTGCAGCGGATAGGCCACACCTCCAGGTCTTCACGGGACTGCGTTGTGGACTGTGGCCAAACGGGGCCCATCGGCGATCAACAGCGTTACTTCCCTTCCTATGAAAGACACGCGGTTTTGGACTCTGGCCTGCTGCCCCAGCACCTTCTCGCCTGAAGACCCGGTGGGAGTCACCGCCTGCTCAGATGCTGTCTCAGTTCAAAGTGGCCTCACTTGGAAACTTATCACACTGCCTTTAATTACTGGCCGGATGGCTGCTGGGCACAGGGCGCGGCTCTCTCCCAGGACTCCCTCTACTGTAACACCGAGGAAGGTTTATTCAGTTCCGGGGGGCACTTAAACTGAGGCCCCATTAAAGTCCCCTTTTGAAAATTACAGGCTGAAGCCACATCTAATAATTATGGTGTTCTTTGGACCCCACATACATCCTAAAAAAGGAAAATTCATTTCATGGTCACAGAACCAGTTAAAAAATATGGCTTCATTTGAAATGCCTAATTTTTTTGGTATTTTAAGTAAGTTAAATGATTTCAGGTGTTTATAAAATACCTTTACGATGACAGCATTCTAAAAACACTGGACATGCTATGCTAAGATTATCTTATGTCATGAGAAATTATAGCTTAGAATGGAGGCCAAAATATTTTTCTCTGTGAGATTTTCTTTTAGTTTCAAATTTAACTCAAACATTTTTCTTTTAGTACCAAGGTCATGACAGGGCTTTTCATGTCTGTGTTCTTGCTCATCTTTCATGAACTGCAGAAAAAACAAGGGGCACTGGTTTCCTGCCTCTAGACTTCATTACATAAATGACAGCATGACCGTCACGGGCGAGTCAATCAGCTGACAAACCGGTTCTTACTGTGCACCAGGCGTGGCCACAGGTCTACAGGGGCAGCTTGTGTCACAGTCCTACTGAAGTTCAGCACTTCAAGCTGTGAGTAACTCCAAACACTAGCTGAATTGAGACATACCTAAAATTGCCTGGAGTATGTGTCAGGAAGAGTATCCCCTTACCTTGTACCTGTGTTTTTTGGGAATATCTTGTGATATGAATTAAAGGACCAAGGACTCCGACCCCACCAGACTACTGGGCATGCGGTACGGGGCCTCTGGGCTTTGCCTGAAGGTCCCTGGGAGATTCTGCAAGGAGCGGGGGGGAAGCCCACGAGGCAGTCTCTGGGGAACTCTCACGTCTGGAGCCCCAGGTAGGTCTTTTCTGAGGGAACGGCAGCAGTGAGGGCTTCACGCAGACAGCCAGTGTTCAGGGCTGCCATGAGCCTGCTGCTGCCTCTCAGCTGCCACTGCCCTCAGACACCTATGCAATTTAGTGCCCTCTTCTGTTGGCCCAGCAGAACCTCTGTTCCTCACCTGCCCTGGCCTCCACACCGTTGCTCACACTGCTCTGTCCGGAATGCGCTTCTCACCTCTCTGCTCTTCCAAGTCAAGCACGTTCTCTCGGTTCATTTAAAATGTCATAATCTGCATGCAGACTTTGTATTCATCACCCGGCTAGCAGTTTCCTTCTCTGAATTCCCACATGTTCTCCATGTGTATCTCCATTGCTTACCACATTTCACCACTTCTATTCATCTGGCACTTTCTCTATAAAACCAAAAGGTACTGGAGTCCAGAGTCCAGGTCTTACTGATGCTCATATTTCTGGCATCTCACCCAGTGATTCCACAGTTTTGGAACAGGGTTCTGCATAGTCCCAAGGTCCCGGGGGCGCGGGGGGTGGGGGGAGGTCCTGAGGACGTGTGGTGGGGGCAGAGAGTGGACAGCGGTACACGGAGACCTCTTCTCTCCAATCTGTGCTTTAGTCAGATGGGTTTTGATTTGAATTCTTCTACTTATTGTGACTCATGAAAGTTTTTTAAAAAGGATTTTGCTAGACAGAAAAAACCCATTGCAACAGATCCTGGCAAATAAATGAACAGAATTACCCCCATTACCGCTAGTGCATTCTCCCCTCAGATATAATGAAGCCCAGTGGTGTAAGACGAGTAGCAGAGGTTCCGAGCCTGTCAATCCAATAACATGGTCAAAACCAAGGGCTCTTTCTACTGTCCAGTACTGGCTCTTGTACCAAGTTTGACAGACGTCCCTGAAGCTCTGAATTAGTGATGTTTAAGGTGCTAAACAGAACCATCCCAGCACCCGTTCTGCTTTGGCATGTGTGTGTGTGTGTGTGTGTGTGTACGCACACCCACCCACTATGCCCTCATCTCAGTGTAACTCCTGGGTGGTAGGAAAGTTTGCAGATGATGTGACATGTCTCATCTCCACCCCTCCTTCAGTCTTCCCTGCACTCTGCTGCTCAAGCTAAGAATCCTGGCACTTTCCTTCATTTCTCTCTCCTTCACCACCCACATCTAGTTCGTCAGTTAATACTGTCAGCACTGCCTCCAAAACACAATCTGAAGCAGTTCATGCCTCCCTGCCATGCACTGCCACCCAGGGCTGTGGCCCAGGGCATCCTCCTCTCCTACCTGCTGCTGTAACGGCCTCTTCTCTAGCCCCCGGGTCCTGGTCTTCCCCCCTTATCATCCCTTCTCTAGGCAGCAGCCAGAGTCATGTTTAAACTTCTACAGAACGCTCTCAGTTTCTCATCAAACGTAAAGTAAAACTCTTAATTCCTAAGTGGTAAAAACAAGGTAGCAAGCATTTTGTATTTCACTCCCAATGAAGCAAATTCTCTCATTCTGATAATCTTCTGTTGGGGAGGAAAGAAAATAAACCAGGGGATGACAGAGCAGAGAGAGGACAAGCACTACCCAGACCAGAAATGACTTACGGCTTCCGACTTGGGAGGCACTGGAGGCGGAGGCAGGGCGGCCTCGGAGGGCTTGCCCGCAGCTGCCAGGGTCCCGGGCACAGGAAGAGGGGAGGTTGCACGTTTGGACCGGGCAGAGCCTCTGAACGGATCGCATCTGCTCTGCTCACTCAGGGAGCGAGTGAGAGGCTGGTGGCCGGGCTTGCCTTCTTCCAGCCACAGTTCTTCGTAAGGAAGCTCGGGCTTGCCCGGGGCGCCCGCCGCCTCCTCGCTCTCCTCGGGGAAGAGGTAGTCGCTTCCAGAGCCGGCCGGGTCCAGGCAGGGCAGGACCTCGTGGGCGGAGGGGGCCCACTCGCCGCCCAGGTCCCGGCAGCCGTGCAGGCTCACCTCGCTGTTGCCGTGGAGGTTGCTGCCGTACACGCAGACCGAGAGGCGGTGGAAGGACTGCGTGAGCTCCTCGCGCGCGTGGCTCAGCGCGCTGGGCAGGTGGCTGCGCGCGGCGCGCCGGCCCCTCCGCGGGCTGCGGCAGTCCTCGCTCCAGTCCGCCTTCACGTCGCGCACGGCGCGTGAGTATTCGTCGATGTCGAACTGCTCCTGGCAGACGCCCAGCCAGTGGTGCACCAGCGGCTCGGGCCAGCCCTCGCCCCTCCCCAGGTGCTCGGGGAGGCTAAGCCTGGGCACCGTGAGGTGCAGCGGGAAGTGCACGGGCAGCACCTTGTTGCTGCGCAGCACGCAGCACACCACCACCGTCTTGGTCTGGATGTTCACAAACTTGTAGCGGTGGCCCTCACGGATGAAGTGCAGGTCGTAGGGGTTCCGCGGCGGCGGGCTGGGTACCGTCACGTTCACGGGGAGCCTGGTTTTCTCCACGATGCTGCGGATAGTGTGCTCCCCCTCCTGCATCTGCAGCTCCAGCGGGCTCCGGGTGCTGAACCTGCCCTTGCACTGGAACGGGAGGCTGATGCTTTCATTTGTTCTGTGGTTCATGCAAATGAGGCACGGCATTTTGCCTTTTCCCAGCTTGCTGATGGAATTGAGCTTCCCAATCTTTTTGAAGATCGTGTTGAGGCGTGACTTCTCCTTGAAAGTCTTTGCATAAAGGATTTCCGCCTGCCCCATGAGGGTGAGCTCGTCCCCAGTGCACAGGGCGATGTTGTAAACCTCCGTGTCTTCGTTGCATTCTCCGGATGCAACCTGCGAGGGGAGAAATCACGTTTCATTGGTTCCTTTAGTCAAACAAATACATGACTAGCTATTAAGACACACAAGCACACACACAAGGGAAAATGCTGTTTGGTTTTAATACTAAATTTAGCCACTCCATTTCTATTTATGTGGTTAAAAACAAGATGCTATTAGTTTAGGCTTTTTAAAAAACATGTTTTGTTCTGAAGAAAAAAGTAATTTGTTCATTAATAAAATTTCGGGAAATATAGAGAAAAAAAATACAGAAAGAAAATAGTAGCCACAAGCCTAATTCAGATACAGCCACGGTTAGTGATCTGATAAATATCCTTCCCACTTCTCTTCCTATGTGGAGTGGCCTATCAGGAGGATAATTATTTTGGGACATATTTTGGGACAATTATCATATCTTTTTCAGTTATTAAAAAAATGCTACTGTAGAAAATTCCATATTTTTAAATATGAAAATTTTACTGAATTTTCTAAAATTGGAATTGGGACAGATTTAAAACTTTTATTTCCCCCATTCTTTTATTTTACTAGGCAAACTATGTTCACTGGAAGAAATATATTAGAAAAATATGTAAATGAACAAATTCCATGCAATCTTACTACTAAAGATAATCTGTTAACAATTTTATATAAAGAAAAAAGAGATGTATCCATCTATTTCAGACACACACACACACAATTTTGTTGTGAGTTTCCCACTATAATTTATTCCTTTTCCCTTGTACAAGTAAATACCATCAATTGTAATAATGACCTAACATTATATATAGATATGTTTTAATTTATTTGACCAATTCCTTATTGTTAAATGGATAGGTTTTCCCAATGTTCAGCATTAATGAATAAATAGTACTACAATGAGCTTTCCCCCACCCCCAATTATTTCCTTAGGCTAAAGGCCAGAGGTAGAATTGCCTAGACATAGGTATGTGTATATTTAAAAGATCTAAATTTATCACCCTTGTGCTTACTCAGTGTTGTCTGTATACTTTTTCCTTTGTGTGAAATTCTCTGTCCCCTGTACCCATGTTGAGTAAGTTTAATGTTCATCAGTATCAAAGGTAAAGCATGCATTCTGCATTTGTTTTTTCATATTCTGATTAGTAGTATAATGAATTTTTTTGGCGTTTATCTGGTTACTTAGATCTCTTGCTTTATGGATTGTCTATTTGCGTCCTTCAACCACTTTTCTATTGGGATAGTAATCTTACTGGTCACTTTTTGTGTACTGTGAATATCACTTACATTTTTCAAACTGTTGCTTGAATTTCAGTTTCATAGCTTCTTTAAGTACTAATTCTTTTTCCAATGTAGCAAACATTCTCAAATTTTTCCTTTGTGATTTCATTCTTGGGTGGCAGGCTTCTACTAGTTGAGATGATACAGATTGGTCTTCCTGAATCAGGGGTGATTTTACCTCCACCTTGGGCCTCTGGGGACATGTGACAATGTTTGGAGACATTTTTGATTGTCCCCATTGGGAGGACTGTACTTACATCTGGGGAGAGGCCAGGCATGTTGCTGAACGTGCTATATGCACAAAGATAGCCCCCAGAACACAGAATCATCCAGTCCAAATTTCAAGAGTGCTGAGGTTGAGAAATGCTGATATATAATTCATCAATATTTTCTTCTAGTATTTTGATGGTTTCATTTATTAATATTTAACTTATTTGACTAAAATATTTGGCAGATTATTAAAGGTTGGGATCCAACCTTAGTTTTTAAACAGCTAACAGAATGTCCAGCTTCTTAAATAACCATCATTCATCACTGATTTGATGTGCTACTTTTATAATATACCAAATTTATTAAACACTCTTTGTATACATATATTTGTATCTATTTGGGAGACATTTATCCTAATGACCTTTCTGCTTACCTATGCTGTTTTAATTTCTACATTTTATCGTACATTTTCAGATCTGATATTAAAACCCTCCATCACTTGTCGTTGCTCTTACTCAAAAAGTATTTGGATGGTAAGTAACAGAAGGAGTGATGTCAAAAGTAAAGTAACAGACTGAGAGAAAATATGTGCAATACACACCACAGGGGAAGACCTGACATCCCTGATATGTAAGGAGCTTTTAAAAAATGGTAAAAAATCCTCCAGAAATAGGCAGAAGTCATGAAAACCCAATTCTCTAAAAAGAAGCACATGGCCTTCAAATCTATGAAAAGATCTTCAACTTGTTTTATAGTAAGAGAAATGTAAATTAAAATTACACTGAGATACCACTTTTCACTTAAACAGTGATAAAAAATGCAAAAGCTTGGCATTGTACCCTGTTGGTGAGGCTGTGGGGAAACAGGCACTCCTGTTTATAGCTGCTGGAAACGCAGCATGATACAAGCCCAGTGGTGGGGCATTTGGCATTACCCAACTACTATGTATGTGTTTATACCTCCATCCAGCAATCCTATGCCGAGAAATTTTCCCTGAGGTCGTTCCTCCGAAGGTACGAAAATACAACATGTATGGGCTTACCTGTTGTAGCATTATCTGTATTTGCAGAAATTGGAACCAACCTAAATGCCCAAACATGAGCTGGGCTGAGTGAACGATGGTGCACATCACAGTGGTGTGCAAAAAGGAGAATGAGGAGTTCCACGACCTGATGGGAAATGATGCCTACAATGTATTAAGTAAAAAACAAAAAGCAAAGTGCATAAAAGTTTATATAGAATATATATATAAAGGAACACAAGTAAACCAGAAAACAATGAAACTGGTACTTAACTGAAGGTAGGGGACAGAGGTATCTGGTGGGAGGGAGTGACAGTGCGGGCGTGTACCTGGCTGTGGTGTTCTGACCACTTAGGAGGCATGCCAATATTCTACCAATTCAAAAACTAAAATCAAGTCAACAGCAACTTAAAAATCCCTGAAAGCTGGATGCAAACAGTAACAGAAGAATCCAATGTACTTCGAATGAGTAAACTAATCACACTAGGGACAGAGTCACGAAATCATCCTAGTAACTTTACAGCCCTGTCCAACCCATGGTGTCAGTAAGGAAAAAAAGACCAAGAATTTTTGTATTTTTTCAGTAGACTTGTTTTGCGTTGGGATATGGGCCCGGTGACTCTGAAACAGCTTTATGTGAACTGCAGGACTGAACACCTGGGAAAATGTGCTGATCTTTTTGGAGCCAGAGTTTTCACTGTAGAAGAGGGGACAGAAATATGAATTGGGAATTGGGAAAGGCAAGAAAGAACTCTAAGGGGTTGGAATGGAATTGGAGTTATCTACACAAGCTCACAATTTTAGGAAACTACACACATGCACGCACACACACATTTCTTAACTTTGCTCTTTCCAAGGAACTAGAAGCAAAGACTCCCACTATCACTATCACGGCCCAAATCATTCCCCACTAAGAGGGATCAGGGCTCCTGGAGAGATGACTGAATCTAGGGCTAGGACAGAAAAAGTACGAAGTGAGTTTGGAACATTTTGTTGTGCCAGAAAATAGAGAAGTAAGTGCTCAGGATGATGGGAATGTCAAAAAGGACACAGCAGCCACCTTGAACTGGCCTCTACTGGCCATATCTGGGACCATTTGAGCATCACAATAAAGCCCATAATGAGTTAAAATCTATTAAAACAAGAAATTAAAATCTGTTGAATAAAATAGGAATATCTAAGTCCATACTGTTAACAAAAAGATGAATGAATGAAAAAAATGAATGAGGGAAATGCTGACAAATGTAGAAGACCAGTGGGCTTGGAAAATTATAAATTGGCAACTATTAAAGATTGGTATGTATGAAAATCATCAATGGATGCTGAATTTATAGGACAAGTTTGATTAAAAGTATGCATGGTTTTAAAGTGTTTTTTCTCAGAATGCTACTTAAGTGAAAGGGGAGGAAAAAGTAACTAGAGTGGAGAGAGTGGACACACCTTGATCAGGGCTCCAATTCACTTTCACCAAAGAGAGGTGTGCCCGCGTCAAGACCTCTGGATGCGATGCCCTGAGAGGTTCAGGACCTGCTTATGTGACCGTCCATCTGGAGGTGTGTCACTAGAATCTAGTCATTAGGAAATACCAAAACAACCCCAATGGAGAACTGTTTTGTAAAATACCTGGTGTGTATTGAAAAAACTTCCCAAAAGACAAGGAAGGGATAAAGAAATGTTTCAGATTAACGTGAAATAAAAAGAAATGAAAAGTAAAAGCATTTTACTGAATGGATTCTGAACTAGAGGAAAAGAGAAACACTATAAAGCACACACACTATTGCAACAGTTGACAAATTTGGAAAATAGACTGTAAATAAGGGTATTACATCACTGTTAACTTTCCTGCAGGCAATCTGTTTACATAAGAAAATATCCTTATTCTTAGGAAATACACACTGATATGTTAAGGAGTAAAGGGAAAGATTTCATGCAATTCACTGTCAGGTGACTCAGAAAAATATAAATTCATTATTTTATGTACATTTATGGATATGGATGTGTGGGCGTGGGTGGAGAATAATACAATAAATGTGGCAGAATGTTAAAAGCTGGTGAATCTGGCTAAAGTGTTTGTGGATATCTCATATCATTCTGCAACAATTCTTTAAATTGAAATTATTTGAAAACAAAAAGTATAAAAAAGCATGACAATAGGAAAATTTTAGATATTTTTGCCTACTTATTTTTCCAGACAAATTTTACAATCATTCTGTCCATGGTCTGCATTGGTAATTTTACTGGAAGTGAAAAAACTGGTGTTTTGGCAAGAAGTGACCTCATTATAATAGCATTTCCAAATAGGCACTTAATTCTCATCATTTATTCAGATCTTTTATTCCCCTTATTAGTATTTAAGCTTGCCTTCATTATCAATTCCTGAACACTGCTATTCATTCATAGTTTTTCTACATGTTTTTTTGCTGTTCTGTGTGTCCAGTAATCTTATTCTAAGAGCTTTTTCCAGTTGATTCTCTTGGGATTCCTAGTTGATTGTATCAAATCCAATCAATGACAATTTTATCATCAT